AACCTTCTCCTGATAATAAGGAACACGTAAAAAAAAGAATCGTCCAATTCGGTGCAGCGGTTCTGAAGTTATGAGCGTACATACATTTCGGCGATTCATTTTTATTAATATAGGTACATTATTTGTATTTTTTTTTTGTTGGTATTGATGAGGCTGATACGTGTTTAAACTCCATATTAATTTTAATAATAATGAAAAAACTTTCAGAGTTTAAATAATATATTCAGTAAGTTCTTCCCTTATTATTAAAAAAAAAAAATAGATTAATTAACAAAGCAAAATATATATTAACAATAATATTACAATGAATTTTTAGTAATCATGTGTATTGAATTCAGGATCCAGAGTGGAGTAAAAATATTATAGTTCCCCAGTTTTAATTCGGTTTTATGGTAGTACCTCATTGCGTAAAAGTTAAATTCCTTAACAATAGATTATTACGGCCGGTCCTGGCGGCTTGTTATAAAACTGAGTTCCTTGCCATAAATTAGAAAAATCAGCCGAAAACTCTAACAATCAGCTTATGGTAGAGCAGGCGATAAGGCTTTTACCTGGAAAGTCGCTTCCGCAAATTTTAGTGGCGCTCCTATCGGCAAAGTACTGAACTAACTGCTCAAATTCTATCGAATTGATACCCATTTTTTTCAATAATTGTTAGTTTTTGTTAAAAACTCTGCTAACCAATAGATCACTAATTTTCCTCTGATATTCCTGTTAAAATTTTATTTTGCATGAATTTGTGGTATATTTTGATTTTAATAAACACATTATTATTTAAACAAATTGTACCACTAACAAACATTTAATGACTCTGCGGCCTGTAAAAAGTGATGTTTTATCCATGTGCGAATTTTCAGGCAATTCTATGATGGTTATGACTGAAAAAACTTGAAAAGAAAACATACAATGGTGCTTTTTTTACGATATTTCTCAGCCATATTTTTTTAATTGATTGAACTGGTCTCTGCGCTCTAGAATATGAAAAAAGCTGCAGTTTGATGTGATACATCTATATTAGTATCATCTTTTCATACAAAAAACCAAAAAAATGTTATACCTCGTCTAGCGAGTCCCCTTAACCTCGAATGAAGGCGTTTCAGAAAACTAAACTAGATTAAAGAGGCATTTTCATGAAATAAAGGGCAAAAACAACGACTAATGCAAGAGATGATTAGGGTACTGAAGTAAATCTGTTCCTCACAGGGTCTAATTATGTTTTTTAAATTTTAAACACTAACTTAACAGACGTTCCTATACAGGTCGCGTATGAATGACAATCCGTTCCGGGTTACTGTTTTTTATTGTAATAAGAAACGGATGTCAACAATACAAATCGACGATTCGTATCAACGATCTCAATTCTGCTTACTCTTATCGAAAGCAAAACAAAGCTTGGTAAGTTTTTCGAAAGATGTGTTTTCTTTGGTAAAAACTGTAAAATGTATCGTCTAAAGTGTAACACGAGTTTTAAAATGTTGGATGTTAACTACAAACAAAATGAAACCGATACTAAGACAACACAATTCTCCATTCGTCTCAATTTTCTCCACCTATCTAACAAAAAGGCCACTTATACTATCCATTTATCAGCACAACCTCGACTTAATTAGTAAAAACACAGATCTCTACTCAGATAATCCTCATCTCATTTTACTCACTTTCTCTCGTATCAATGCAATATCCGATAAACCCCATCGACCCGAAACAACTACTTTCCGGACAATAACCCCTTGCCAAACATCCGTCAAATTTTCACCATTATTATGCGAATTAAGGGTCCGTAAGAATAAAATCGCCAGAGGAAAACCTCGAAATTTATTCGTGAAAAGTTCAAGTTTACGAATAGACTCGAGCACCACTTCACCGAACTGGAAAAGATCTTTTCCAGGTAATAGAAACGTGGAAAGCGCTTACTTATCGAAAATGGACATTTTCATTGAATAATTCGAGGAAAAGCGATCGTTTCTCGTGGAATTTGAAATCGTGCTGAGCTTACGCGAAAAAACGTAACCTGATGAGGCGGCGAAAAATCGTTGTTTTTAGTAAAGACGACGATTTTGAATTTATCTGTAATCCTCACAGATCCAGGTGTGCGTACGATTCGAATTCATCGAATAAATTAAATTCCAAAGCCGCACGAATTTGCATGTAGCGGTGAACTGTGATTAACTTGCGAATATAAATTGTTTACAAATGACAAAATTTCAACGGGAAAAATATTAAATCGAAATTGATTAATGTTCGAATCACTTTCTCGTTTCGATAAACATGAGGAAAAGTTATGGCGGTTTATTCTGTTTCGATTAATTCTTGACAAGACGTGGGAGACATCAAAAAGGCATATATCAAACAATCAATCATAATATCTAAAGTCTGCTTTACCTCAAGAGTGATCTTTATTGACGGCGGGGTTTAAATTTAGAAGGATCTGATGAACTTTGGGTCGGTAAAAATAGGCATTATAAAGTTACTCCTTTCTGTGCAACTCCTGTTGATAATAACGTGAAGGCATAGTTGAGAAACTCTGAAAATTCATCATTTTCCGTTGAGTTATCAAGTCTTTAGTTTACGACGTGTTATAAATCAAATTATGAGAGCGTCGTAAATGTGGCTTTATCAGAACAAAGCGTTTGAAAGGGATGTGGAACCATACACTACAATGTATTGTAGCGCGAAAATTACACAACGCGATTCTAAATCTACACACGAAATTGCCGTTTAAAACCTACATCGTGTCAAGAAAAAACTGACTCAATCCAGGTTTTCCTTGAATCTATCGACCCCTTCGCCAATTCTTAATATCTTTATTTTATCTTAGAGATGCCATAAAACGAAAACGTCCGCACCGATCGATAGCCCTAATGGCACATTTCGGTACTCCATATTACTGATGATAATCGCCCATTTTAATTTCCTTTTAAACTGCCTTTGTTCGCAAAGTTTTTCAAGTTATTTTTACCATTCCACGTCGATACTTCCTCCGATATTGATTTTTTTTTCTTGTGCATTTTTAGAAACTCATCAAACTTTTTTGCTTTGTACTGTATTGACTTTCAAAGCAAGAGGACGATTACGAATGTGTTCGTTTTAATCAAACGTTTCTGCGCGCAACCTTTGAATCGTGTAATTTATAGAATTATGGAAATTTGCACAAAACCCTTGGAACATTAATAATGCGATATTTACATAAAATTATGCAACTTGGAATGGGTGAATGTAAACCGTGGCGGCTGAAAAACTACTCAATTCATTGTAAAGACAGAATATAAAGCTTGCACTTTTTTAACACTTATCATCAGATTTTGTATAAAAATAAAAGACTGATGATTTCTTCTGACGTAACTCCTTTTAAATGCTAAGTCACATGATAGTCAAGACTTAAAACCTGCACTCAAACAATTGATGTTAACTAAGGGCCAAGTGCAGAAATGCACGCCAGATGGCGCCAAGACTCCTCGCCATCATAGCCGGCTAGATGAACTTGAACTTTGATAGGATTACACGTTTATTTCCTTTATTAATCATTTCATTTATAGTTGTTCTTAATTGGCGTGACCACTTCCTACAAATGAAATTTATGACTATTTTACACTTTCATTAAACCGAGACGTGGTATCATCGGCATGTCATGTATGTAGGAAGGTAATTCGATTTTTCGATTTTATCCAACCTTGATTGGTATTATAAATATTAGATTTGCTTAAGTGGAATATAAATGAAATGTGTAAGTAGAGTTGTTAGGAATAATTTCTCTGTTGTATAATCAAGATTTTTTCTACAGCAGAAAACTGTTATAGTATAAAATTAAAACTTGATTTGTTCTTGGTACTGATAAATTTGGACGGCATGCGATACAATTAAACATTAGTCATAAAAAAACTATTAGTAACAGGAAATACCACTTCTCTAATACAAATTTAATATTTTTAGTTGCGAAATAAAGTAAAATGACAAAATTTAAAATAACCCAATGCACATAACGTCAATTAAAGTTACTGATTAAATTTTAGCTGTAACACTATAAACCAGGTCATAAATTAAAATTTCACTAAGCAGTTATAAAAAAATGAAGTTGCCATTTAATCGCAACACAATTTATCAAAATCATCTTGACGTAGGGATCTATGAAAATAGTTCGTCAAATTAAACTTCCAAAAAATATGTATATTACTATATAATTATTATATACATGGTGTCAAAATGATAATTTTTTATACTACAGACTTCTACTACAAACTAAACAAGTCATAAATAAAAATTTGACTCACCAATTAACATGAAGTGTCGCTATTGTCAAATTTAACACTATGTTACAAAACACATAGTAGTCTTGACAGAAAGATTTTTACTGTAGATTATCAAACTAAAACTATAGTTCGAAACTATTACCTATGTCATGACAACCATTATATGACAAATTATAACATAACCAGTGCTTAACAAATGTCACCCGCTTCGCATTCAAATTCCAATTATTACAACGAAACTACATTAAAATATCATCAACAAATAATTCTTAAAGTATAAACAAACAACCAAATCAAAGATTACACAAAGTAGTTATTTGTTTCTCAACAAAATTATCTCGAAACGTAAGCACAGCCAACTGCGTTCTCCTTGTGATTGATCAAACGCACGTTTTGTCAAATGCGATATCAACAATATAAAACAACCGACATAAACAAACACGGCCTACTAGATAACGGAAACAATAAACCGAAATCCTTTCGACGCCTGGCCATCTTTCCCCCGTCCCCCCTACCCAAATGTCAAAGCTGACATTTCTCAGCGCACACTTCGATCGAAAACCAAAAATCTTCGCCCAAAACGTGTCAAATTAGCGATATGACGTCACCGATGCAGTTTTCCCGATTTTCCCCTGAAAATCGTCACGCCGGTAATGCAGATCCGGACCGCATTCCGGTTCGCTTTTTTCGGGGAAGTGCCGCCGCCTCATCGTCGGGGGCTCGATATCGATGAATCGACAAGACAACGCTTACCTCTCCGCTCTCGGCGGCTGGAGAGTCGTCCAGAATGTTGTAGATGATGGGCGGCAAGCCAGGTTTACCCAACAGGGAAAATCCGAAACCGGAGCTCTCACTGCGATTTAAAACCACCAAAAGTTCCTCAGACATTTTCGCCACACATTGATTTTCGGCTTGAACGAGAATGCACTTGCACAAACGAAACACAAACTACTTCCCACGACATAACCTACATGACTGAGTAGTGTGGGTTTGGAACCACGAGGGGGCGTCACGCGGCGAGCTGTCAATCGATGCGCGGGTAGGGTACGCACTTCAAAAGTAACCACACTTTTTAAAACATTTTCGTGATTACGTGTCAAAAAAAAGCACAAAAACTAAGGGTTTTGGATTAACGAACATGATGAATAAAACTGTTGGAGATCGAATCACATTCACGTTGCTGTTAAGACGTTGTATCTACTAGTTTAGCCGACGTTTGACAGAGAGCACGCAACCCCACCAAATGTCAACCACGGAATGTTAAACAGAGGCGGCGCAAGCGAACTAGAGCGTGAGGGTGAAGGGGGCCGTTTTGGGAATTTGGTGCACTCGAAAAATGCACTTTCGATTGCACGCTGTGTTAAATGTGGGCTTTTACGCGAGGATCATTATGGATGAGGGAAATGGGCGGTGGTTAGGGAATCCAGTGGCGTAGAACGGAAAAGCGATTAACCACCTAAGAATAATTAATTTCACTAACAATAAAATAAAACGTTAACAACGTTTTTCATTTCTTTCATAGTTATATAGCCATAACTATATAATAAAATAAAATTTAATTTGAAGAACCCTGTCCGATTTTTTTCAAATCACGAATTTCTATTGCAGATCACATGGAACATTTTTTCATAAATCAATGATAATATATCTTTTCAAATCAACAATTAAATCCTGGAAGTCAATGTTTGTACTGATTAAAATGGTGTCATTTACAAATAGAATTAGTTGAGTGTGTTTACCAGATTGTAATAAAGAGGAGCAAGTACTGACCTTTGTAATATCCCACTATTCAGCGGCTTCGACAAAGTTATCACGCTCTTTTAATACGTGTAATAATGTCTATTTATGAAACTAAAATATTAAATTTAATCAAATTAACAGTGAGATCCGATGCGCTTTGAATGTTTTCTGTGTTTAAACTTCAACACATTCAATCCTAGAAGTGAACTTAACTTTGATGTTTCAAAGCGTTCAGTCCCTTTGCAGGAATTCCAATCATTATGAGTTTTAAGGGGTGCGTCTGATCGAGTTTCGTCCTACTTAAATACATAGGGAATTCGGCTACTGCATCACAATTTGTAAAATGACAGATTTCAGATTTAGTTTTGACGGACGTTTCTGTCATTTTCACTTAAGTTGTACCCATTTTTAACCTATTGCACTTTCTGTCTACAGGATGTCCGTCCTAGTCAGCATTAGCGTAATCATTTAATTGATTTTCCTAGCGATTAAAAGTTAATTCTGTAACAAGTGTTGTTGACCATGAATTCGCCTAGACCATTAATTACAAGTACATATATAATTTTTACGGGATAATAATTATCACTTTACTAATTTATATAATAACTGGGTATAATATGGGTACGTTTTTAAGAAATGACGCAGTTCTTCGACGCACTTCGATTGTGACTAATTTACACATTTTTCTTTTTGCTTAAATTCAAAATTTGTATCTACATAAAAATATCTTCTCATATATATGTGATAATATTTATACCATAACACCAAATACTGTGCCGGGAATCCAAATCATAGACCACGGTTACGGAATCGATGGCCCTGATCTAGGCGATCGAGCTCTGCTTAGTTTCCAGCGTAATTTGTGTTGCGAGATTCACGGGCTGTTACAGAATTGGGCACATTAATCTAAAATATTTGTAGTCTGTAAGTTCCGATGATGATTAAAGGAATTACTGGAACTCCAAAACAAACAAATGTTCGTTACGCCACACTGTACAAACTTTTAACAACAAAGAATTTACATGGTGTTAAATTATACATTAATTCAAATGAATAGTTAAATCAAAAACGAGCTCATGAAGTAAACACAAAAAGGCACATATTAAATGCGGTGAAAATCAAAACAAAAATTCGAGAATAAATGTTCAAATTCAAGCTGTGACAAAATGTTTCGGATGTAGAAAATAATATTATATACAGATACATCGATGATTTTGTTGACTGAAAGAAGATCCAACTACGCCCAGTTCTAGTGCGTTTCACACATTCTCTAATTAAAGATTAATTTCGTGTTTGCCACTACTTTCAGTCGGTCCTTTTGTGCCTCGTTCGTCAATATTTTAGACCACACCATTCCAGCAGAAGTCGGGTGTGAAGATCAAGTTCAATCGAGATTTCTGCTGTGGAAAACCTTGACAAAACGCGAGTTATTACAGTGGTCTGAATTATGTGTCAATAGCGTTCCACCTAGTAACGACATCTAGGGATACAGGTGGAATTTAAATAGTAGAAAACTATCTTGGAATGTAGCCTGTAAGCTGACAACACGATAAACTGATTTCGAGCATCTTTTGTTGCCAATATTGTCACTAGCTAGTCTCATTTCATTAATAATCATTTCAAAATCGTGCACAATAATAGATGTTATTCATATTTTACATATACCTATACATGTAGTTTATGAATCCGTCTTAAGATCTTCATCCAGATTTAAAAAAAAAGACAAAATTGCATTTTGATTTAACTTTAAAACTGCAAACCCGAATGTCCCCCTAAGGTTTTATCGTAAATATAGGAAATCGTTAAGCAAAATTTATTCGTTTATTCCCGAAAATAATTCAATGTAAAAGGTTGTGGTGACCGAATTTAAATCAAAGTTTTCGCGCTGAAATTAATTGACAGCGGCGCGAAATCGCATTTAAATAATTTGAATTTGAAAAAAAAAGTTCAATCACGAAAAGGAACTCCTTAAACATAGGCAACCAAATATGCATGGATGGTCTAATGCACGTAGCGCTTAGGAGTTAGTTGCATGATCTTTGGGTTAGATGGCAGCACGTAGCGCTAGGGTAATTTCAGTTAGAGGGTTGGTAGAAAAGCGGCATGGCGGTAGAGTGTGTCATTCTGGTGTGTTTCGTGTAAGTGTAACCACGTGGTAAGAGCTAGGTTTAAATTAGTTGGTTTGGTAGTTAATAAAACGGGAGGAAGCCTTTGTTTAACGACGATCAAACGTATTTTTCATACTGATACAGTTGTCCCCAACCCGCGCGGTAAATTCTTGCGCCCTTTTAATCGAAAATTGCAGACTTCCGGTCGGACGCGAACACGTGTTGTGAATCTGTTCTTTGTTTGAAAATTCACCAATCAAGCTACTTTTTCTTAATACTCAGCTAGAGCAAACACAATTTAACAATTAGGATTATTTAAATTAACCATTTGCTAGAAGTTTTCATGAAATTCACTTAGTCAGGAAAAACACCTTATGTTTAATTACGAATAGGTCTCTGGATGCATATACGTAAGTGTTACATTATAACACTTCTAAATTCTTCACACAAGATTGCTAATAGTTCATTTACGGCAGTTAAACAAGTTCATTATACTGCGGACTGGCGGGGGGGTTATGATATTTTCTCCCCTCAGGTGGTTATCATCATTATCACGATTAATTCATCGGGGCATGTTTCGCAACGCCAGATTGATTAATTAATTAAGGCATGCCCCCAACGCTACAGAAAATTTACGTTACCGAGACGCTTTTTCCTCGCAACGATTTTGGATACATCACCGAGACGCTTTTTCCCTCGGAGCGATGATTGGATATTTTTGTATTTGTTTATTATGTGTTTTGTTGGGGTAACCAGTTCGTAGTATTTTAACTTCTCAAAGTAAATTATTTTTGAAGTAACCAATCATTTAGATCATGATATAATCTGGCATAATGTAAACTCTTTGTTTGAACCGTTGATAAAGTGTGGCAAAAATTAATCTCATGTAAATTTTGTTAACTCTGCAAATTTTCACATCATACAATATTTCTTAATCTCACAATCTTAACCTCAGTAATTTTATTTGTTGTATAAATTTAATTGGACGTAAATTTCATGTTCTACAGTTCTAACCTCACATAACATTTCTATTTGTACAAGTTTACTTCACACCAGATCTTTCGTCTCATAAATCCTTGCTAAGTTTTGTTTTGTAAATACTTTGTTGATGAATGTTTTCTATCATATAAATTATTTGATGTCCAACTTTAATCCCACATAAGAATTATTTGTTGTCTAAGATTTCACAAGATTGTATGGCGAATTTAAATGTTGTTTATTGCTCTTTGAAACTTTAACACTTGTTCAGTTGTTGTTAACATCAGAGTTATAAGAGATTGAATGTTTTGAAATGGAATTGAGGTTAAATGACACAGAAAACGTGGCAGAAGCGAGGTTTGGTTCCTAGTCGAGCTGGCGAGATTTATCGCGCCACCTGTACAAGTCCACAGGTTTGGATAGATTCAGGGGGCGGCCGCCGACGTTGTGAATTTCTCGATTTGGCCCAATAGTCGAGATCTTTGCGGGTTGGAAGACCGTAATGGCCTAGTTCCGCAGGGCAAAGTTCGTCATGGGATATGCGTGTGGGGTAGGCTTTGCGATAGATAGAATCACCGTCGCGGGGGGAGAACAGTTCCAGACCGGTAGCTCAGACTCCGCTTATGCCTCAACGCTCCAGGGGTACCTTTCTTGTGCTCCTGTTAACTGCCGTAACAAAAAAAAAAAGGAAAAGAGATCGGCCGCCACACGCCTGTAATAACTTGTGTACTTGCATCCAGTTACTTGATTCGGTTTTTGCTTTGTTTTATTAAACTTGTGATATTCCAATATTTGCATTGATTCCAAACAGATGTACAGAATTTCCGTTTGTTCGTTTTTCGTGTGTGTATGTCTGACAATTCGCGAGTGTTTTTCTTTCACATATCTTAAGGTGTTTGAAATGTAATAATATGTCGTCCGGGAATAAAACCAAAGGGGGTTTTTACGCTGAGGGGTAATTCTTCGCAGCGTCTTTCCCCCTGTGAGGGTGGTGCCGTTTCTCCCCCTCCAAACCAATTTTTGTCTATTATTTCTTGCGCTCTCGACAGTGTATGCACTTGTATGAAAGAACTTCTTCCCGCCATTTTTCAAAAGCAAAAAAAAAAAAAAACACACAACGTAGGTTCTCATTTGTTAGACGATCACAGCCAAGGCCAAACTTTGAATTTTTAAATTTTTCGCGGGCCTTTCAAACTGTTTCAAGGTCAAATTTTAAGGCGGGAAGTTTGGGTTATCACAAGGTACAAAATATTATGCAAAAAAATTTCGGGAATACAATACTGATAATGTACAATCATATTATTACGATTAGTTTTCCCGATTGTGACACCACCACTTTCCGGACTTACTCAAAGCCCCACTTTTCACGTTGGTGCACATGTCTGAACTGGTAGGGAGCGCAAACGTGAAAATAATTCACACTAGTGTGCACTCTTGGATTGATAACAGCGCAAAGTGACAAGTCCAACAGCTGGTCCGGATATGAGGTAACTATCGTTTTACCATCGGCACGATATTCCTAACATACATGACAACAAACGGTCCAGTAGTTGCGGAGATCATCTCCTTAATCAAAATCGACACACACAGACGGGAGACCAATTTTTTAGTCTTCTAGCGGTCATGAAACGTCGAGAAAACAGAAAAGTAAAAAATTTTTAATTCCTGCAATGATCTGATTTTTTTTTATTTTGGTGTAATAAAAAAACGTTTTGCGTGACTTGCGTAGATAACAAAATAATAAATAATCGGCGCAATACATATATCACATTGTTATTTTAAATATTTCGTGAGAAATAATATATAAAACGTGTGTGCAACAGTAACTGATAAGTGATAACGTTCACGCTACACACACTGGTTAAACGGTCTTATACGGCAATATATGTTATCCGTTGAACCATTTAGCATAATTATATGGTTGCTTGTGTATTTTGTCTAATCTCATTTTTCTGGTTGCATTTTCAGTTTTTTGCTTTTGACACTGAACAGGCAAAAATCGGTATATTTGATTTGTAAAATATACGTTTAGTTATAATTTGCGTATAATTGAATTAAACCCAGACCACGTGACGGACTCTACGCCAATCAGACATCGCTGAACGCCTCGTTAAATGCGTGATTAACCTAATATATTAGTATACACTGGCCCTAAGAGTCTCTTTTGACTCATCGCGTTATTATTATTTTATTATTAACTGATGTAAATGAAGTAACTCGAAAAAAATATCAACCCCCACCATAACATTGATTTGTTTACATATTCAGAGTCTTGACAGGTGTTTAACTTTATCTCCCCACGATATTTTTGCACCGACAACTTGTTATAATTTGATGATATTCCGTGCAAAATTTTTGAACCTGCAACCCAATTTTTTGTTTTTTTGATTAAGAAATGGCTTCTCCATTTTTAAAAGTCAGATACAGATATTGCAATAATCTGGTAAAAATTTTTTATATCATTATTAGAAAGCAAAACGATCATAATTTAATTCTAAATTAAATTCAGGGATAAACCTTATGTTCTGAAAAAAATATATAAAGTAGTAGGCGCAGTTCTTATGGTAGAATTGTTTTTTTTAATTATCTGTTGTTTAAATTAAAACCGACTATAGCAACAATAACAAACATTTGACGTCTGCCACAATAAAAGTTTTATCAAACAAACTTCCAGTTTGATAAAATAAAAAATTTCGTATGAGATAATGTGTTAGATTAAAGGGTAAATTTGATGATTTATTATTTACATGAATCAACAGGTAAAGGATCTTTGACATACGACTGTCATTTTCACATGTAACACTTATGCAACCAATGTCACATTTCGTTATGTTAAAAAAATGTAAAAAATGACATAACTGACAAGAAAAAATCGCGCATGGTTGTCCTCAAACTATCTGATTGGTCGGTTTCAAACGAACCGATTCCTTTCCACCGTTCTTCCATCCAATGTTACGCCACTGTTTAACCACATGATCAACAACCTTGTCCGAGTATTTTGCAGCGAAAGTCATCGAAAAAGTGCTTGAATACGTAATAAAGTCGATTCGTGCAGTCTTCCCAGTTCTAAAATTAAAACCCTGCAAAATAGTTGTTTAGCCAAAAATGCAACCAGTAGCGCACTTGGTCAAGGTATCTTTACCCAATTATCTTACAAATCTACCAGTTCCAGACTCGTTTGGAGGATGGTTTAGGTTAGGATGTAAGTAATCCAAAAACCTAAGTATATAATTAACCATAACCTGTGTGCGTTTTTTAGTTAGAGATTGGTTGGCCTTAGTTCCTCCCACAGCCGCCTTGGCTGGATTTACGTATGTTACGTATAGAGCTTTCTGCCCCCACGGCCGTCCCCAGCCGTCCGGAACCGTCAACCAAAAGATCCTGAAGGACAACCCAAAAGTGGTAGATACGATTGATATTGAAGACATTTCAGAGAAGGCTGTGTTTTGTCGGTGCTGGAAAACTAAGAATGTGAGTATTTATTTAGAAAATTGACATTTTGGTGATTATTTTATGTGTAGTGGCCCTACTGTGACGGCTCTCATGGTGCTCATAACAAAGAAACGGGAGACAACGTGGGTCCTTTGGTGGTAAAGAAGAAATGAGTGTGTAGCAGCTCGTAGACCCCATTTAGTTTTGTGCCTTGGCACTATTTATTTCTAACAATTTTTATTTTTCCAGTTTAGTAAATTTGTCAAATTGTTGTTAATATACACTGTTAATGGGAATTTGGTTAGTTAATTATAATTTAGGAACTTTTATTAAGAATTTGTTTTTACAGTTACAAAAATGGCGACATTACATACATGTTACTTATCAGCGCGTATCTGATAGAAGACCTACTTAAGATACAAATATAGATATCACAGTTACCTAAATATGACTATTCATTGTACTGTAGGATTGCATTTTTTTGTGGGTTGAGGAGCGTCATTTTAAATCTGAAAAAAACATTATTAAAAACAATGCGTGCAAAAATAATTACACAACAATGAAACAGATCGAGATTTGTTTACAAGTGTTTAAGAGATTTGACTCCGGGAGATAATCGCCTGAGGCGAAATCAACCGAGGATGTGCGAAAATATTTGCTTACATCAGTGGCGTAGCACGTCGAATCACCCAAAAATATTTTCAGTGGAAAATTATACCGACGACTTTTTTCGGTAAGCAAATACTTTAGTGACTTTTGAATTGGAAATTTTTTTCAGTGTACAAGTTGGCGATTTTTAAAAAAAAATTCGATTATACAGGGTTAGTCACGAGAGAATTACTTCTGAAAATTATTTTTACGCAACCCAAAATACGAATACCATGTACCATTTGATACTAACCGAATTTAAAATGAAATGCTTAATCCATGATTGCTTTGAGTTTGGCAATCTCATTTTGACAATTATGGAAAAGGAGGTTACGCGAGTGTCCATGGTGGTACCGCGCCAGTCCGAAATCTCCTCCGGCGCCTCTAATAAATTTGTCAGTGTGCCTCTTGATCTTTTGCAACCGATTAATCACGAGAAATTTATTTCTAAAAATTCCTTTTACGGCATTTTATTCAAAGGTAACAAGTAAGTAAATAATTTAACTACTAATCTGTTGAAAATGTTGGGCATTTTGTGGGGATGCTACGGCTTTTTTGTAAATGGATGACCGAAGAAGTCCAGAGGTTGCAGATTTGCACTTCGAAGAGGCTCTAGGTGACGCAGAGGTAGAGCACTTACGGCTTCAGTATAGCCCAGATTGATCTGACTGTATGTCGTCGATCCAACGGGGCTCTAGAGGCGAGTCAACGATGAAAAAAAAATGTTAAAAATTAATTAACTTCAAAGTGACACTGCCAAAGTCAAAGCAATCATGGATTAGGCATTTCATTTTAAATTTAGATAAGATCAAGTGGTACAGGGTATTAGTATTTTGGGTTGCGTAAAAATAAGTTTCAGAAGTAATTCTCTCGTGACTAACCCTGTATAATATATAATGATTAAAATTGTCTTCTGGATCCTTTTTCGTCATCACAATTATGTTGGAAAGCTGATAATTGTTGTGTTTAAAATTCATCGCTGGGGGTAAGGAAATCCAACAAGACATATTTAAACAGTATAAGTAATATCCTGACATTGAATTTTGAGTTAGGTAACCACTCTTTTGAATATCAGACAGCTGTGTTATGTGTTTTTAATAAGTAATTAATATTGTATTTTTTTATAATACCGCATTTTGTATAGAGGTATTGAAAACTTTGAAAACAATAAAAAAATTTCAAGATAATTTTGAAATTATTTTTCTTCAACTAAATTAATGTCATTGTGGCCTGAAAATGGGAGATGTGTTTCATGTTTAATTATGTGTTATTTTCTAAACAACATTCCAATTATAGATAATAGTGGTTGTTTTACAGAAGTGGGGGTAGAGCGTATAATATGTGGCAGGTTTTTTGGGCATAGAATTCTAGTTACCTTAATGACGACTTTTTTCATACATTTATCTTAACTTTTTAGTTTGGACTTTGTTTTGATATATGTACATACAATAACAAAAACTAACAGAAATACATTACAAAAATTTTAACACGAGTAAGACAAAGTGTCCATTCTGACCAATCTGTGAAAAAAATTGGCATATTTTAAACGCTAAACCGTTGCATTATAATTATAAAAGTTGGTTTAATTAAAAAAAGAAACTAACAACAATCTCGTTACGGTAACGGATCTACGGAATTTAACTGGCGGAACATTAAACTCTTGATTTGTATATTACAATTGTGTTGCTTTAGAATTGGTTGATGGTACTCAAAAAAAACCCATAGCGTCATAGCATTCTATAAAAATTTTGCACCTGTTAAATATTATCACTTACAGAAAAGTGTTTGAGATCGTCCGGATCGAATATGTCGTCACTATCAACCAACATCTCTCTGCTACCATATTTCACCCTAAAAATCAAACGATAAGTAAAAATACAGGCACTCATACTAAACCCGAGTATACTCTAACGATCGCCTCCATAGAATCAACGCTGTATATCCAAAAATACAAATAACTAAAAATGCGCCAACCAAAATGGCTGCCGTTGATCCGCTGATAACAGGGACGCCATCTTTATATGGTTCCAGTATCACATTTTCGCTGCTTTTCTCCGTACTTGTTTGTTGTGTCGTAGGTGTTGTTACTTCTGATTTAGTCGTAGTTGTTTCCGTTTTAATCGTAGTTGTTTCCCTTTTAATCGTAGTTGTTTCCGTTTTAATCGTAGTTTCTTCTTGCGTGGTTTCCGTTTTAAATGTGATTTCATTAATTGTAGTTTCTGCTTGTTGATTCTTTTCTGTACCGAATTTATCGTCTTCTGTATCGTCCCCGTTTTCAATCCATTCAACGACACTTTTTTTCCCTACATATTCGTCTTCTTCAGAGGGATTTAGAACGACTTCACCTTCTTGCTTTATTGGCTCTTCATCCTCATGTTTGGTTAATAAATCTTCAACTTCCGTGTCTACTTCCGAATGACTCGCTAAATTCTCCCTTATACTCGAGTTGTCCACAAAAGTGTAGTTTTGGTTAAAATTTGGAAATTCCCGCGGAACTACCGGGGTGACATCTGTGGTAGTTGGAAGGGACACTAAAACAGACGTGTTACTTAACCTCACTTTCTGGCATGTGTTTGTTTTTCATGGCTTATCTTTTATCACAGTTTTGTGTGGGGAATGTCATTATGGTTTATCACAGAACTATTTTAAATGCGTTTATCATAGTTCGTGTGTAAATAGAAATATTCCAGACGGTTGTATTTTTACAGGTTGGTTTATTTAAATGGATTTGTTGTAAATAACTACGTTGGTCGTAATTATGTCATATAACTTGAACTCGGTACACTGGTTGGATAACAAAGCAATCTATATATAGACAATCGATAAAAAAGATGAGTATTTAAAAATACTTATCGGATTATTTGAGGATTGTCGGCACGAGGCTTGTAAATTTCCTACGTCACTTATATAAATAGCAAAAAAATGTGTGTACCTGTACATAGATGGACAGAAATAGACTCAGATATTTAAATTCCCGGAAAATGAATAGGTACCTATAACATATGTATTAAATGTCAACACTCAGTACATACTGTTGTACTACTAGAAAAAAAAATTTTTCATTACTTTGACATACACGTGCGATTGTAAACGTACATGAAGTTTGATATGCTTTGACTCGAACCGGATTTGTTTTGATTCAGTCAATGCATCATCTGTTTAATATTAACTTTAAATGTCACACGAAATGACACCTCCATAATAACTCGACATACGTTAAAGAATGCAGAGTCAACTTGAACTATAGATTTTTTTTTCTATGTTAAAATTCTGAATTTTGAAAAATTTGAATTAACTGTATACCAGGAAGAAACGCAAAGTCCTACAAAATCAGTAGATTAACACAAATTTTGGCGGCAGTTTTGAAAAAATGCGGAAACCATGCACACTATTCATCCGAGGCGCGTTTATCAGCCACGTTTGCGTCAGATTATCAAAAGTGCACAACAACACAACGACAAAAGTTCAAATACCTGCACAAGTGATCACCAAACAACAAGCACCAACAAAACTAATCCACCACATTTGCATTTTTCTTCACTTTTCTCAACACAAACATAAATTGAAGAAATGTTCTGTTGAGGCCCCGACGATGTACTTTCTTCTCACATGATTTAGATAACAACTGATTATTTTTGTATCAGATAATTACATTTGTAATGGGTTTATTGTTGTTCAGTGTAGACCATACAACGTGTAGCTAACGAATGACTGCTAATAGCACAGAATTTTCCCATAATGGTTGGTAAAGATGACTCATTTATGTCTAGGTAGTTATTGGATAAAAATGAGTTAATTGGTAGGTGGAAGGTAGGTAATGTGAGGAAATTACAATGGGTGAATTTTTGAAGTCGGAGGTCAAATGAATAATCAAAGATGCGGCTTATTCAGAGTTCGGCGAAATTTTGCCCATGGTGGGGATTTACGATTTACGGTTCTTGAAACTTTAAGAAGAGAATGACTTACTGAACCAAGAATGAGTGGGTATTTTTACTTAGATCTAATTTACATTTCCCTTTGTTTTAACTAAAAAAGAAAAACTGTACCTCACATGTATTGTTACTTTATCGTCATTGTGTTACGAGCACAATTATATTAACAATTTAAAAATACGGAATGAGAGAAAAGCAATCGACACCAAAATAAATATTGATTACAACCGATTTTATCACTGATAAACTTATCTTTAATTGATTTTAGTGGAATTTGATCCACCGTTTGCCTTATATAGGATATTGAACGCACTGTTGTATGTAGTCAGGTTGGCCGAGCGGTCTAAGGCGCCAGATTTAAGCTCTGGTTCTCGAAAGAGAGCGTGGGTTCGAACCCCACACCTGACAGAACTTTTTTTCTTGCTTTTTACGTGTTAAAATTTTAAAAATATATATTTTGTGGCAAAAGCTTATTTCTTTTACTATTATTATTTTAAACGAATCAGTTTGATAAATTGTACATTCTGCAAATGATTTATGCACTGTGACGCAAGTATTTTTTTAATTACTTACCGCCTTATTTAAATAATTTAAACAAATATTTATATTCCTGGCATAAAAATCTTGTTGAATTTACGTGTTTACACATTACAACCGCAACTGGGAATTTCGAGCTTTGTTTACACAGACACCATATTACAACCTGAAAAGTGGTTTTAAAATAAAGGGTAATGATAATAAGAAATAATAACATTTATTGGTCTTAATAGCTGTCTATACCTATAATAATAATCTGTCCAGTAGTTTCAGAGATTATCTGTTTAATAAAAATCGACACAGACAAACAAACGGAAACACGAAATCTATGTTTTCGTACTCGCAATGAAACGTCGAGAAAACCCTCTGAGACAATTTCATCACACATTATATGTTTAATTTTTTCCTTACAAACCTTGGTGAAATTAACAACGTGTAAGGTGAAACAGGTTATCAAAACCCTGAAATAATGAGAAATCAGTATCAAAGGTTTTGAAATGATTCACTGATGGCAGATTTCCACTTTTAACCGTTTTTAATAAAGCTACTTTCACAGTCCAGTTACACTGAACTCAAGTTTAATTCCTTGTTTGTCTAAAAGTCTCTCTCTTTAGATAGATAGAGAATTAAATTATAATTTCCAGGTTATAGACAGCATTAACGCATAAAAACACACTTAAGTCTAGCATAAGAGTTTAAAAAGCAAAGAATCAGTAGTAGGGTCAAGTTTTGCTTGTTAGGTTCATTACTAGAGCTCGGACACCGCGGTAATCCAAATGCGTGCGGGTGTGGATTGCAAATGTCAAGGCCGGGAATTTACGTTGACGCATGGGTCCGAACCCTGTTAATTACAAACAAACAATAGCTACGCACACAATGTGTAAGCAATGTTCTTATTAGTTTTATCACTGCCAATTTTTACTTTCTGATTTTGATTAGAGAGATAATCTCGGAAAGTACTCGGCCGATTGTTTTCAAATTTTGTATTTATATTAGGAATCATAAATTAGAATTATAAAAGAGATCTTTTAAAGTTCTCATAAGCATGGTAAATTTTTGATCAAAGTGTATTTGCTCATCCCCCCTAAAAAATTGATGACGTCTTAAATATGCAAAATATGATGATTGTTATTTATTTTTAATGTATAATTAATATTTTTTAAATTTGCTTATGCAGGGTCTCTCAGAAAAATTAATGACTGAGTTGTTAAAAACAAATATCCAATCAGATTTAGCAATTTAACTCGTTACTTTGGAAATATGCAATCGAACACCTTTTAAATTTAAAGTTTTTACAAATTTAATAGGGGCAAAATCAATCTTATTTTAGCAAGTGCTAGCCGCGCCCACCCGCCCCTACTTTCTCAGAGTTCCAGCCCTCTATTTTCTCCAACGCTATGGCGTTTGCTAAAATCAGTTTTATCTGAGCAAGTATTAGTCCCGCCCACCCGTCCTCTATTTTCTCAGAGGATGTCATTTACCAAAATAAGACTTATCTTAGCAAGTACTATTATCTAAAAAAATAATGGGCGGGTGGGCGGGGCTAGTCTTTGCTAACACAAGACTTATTTTGGCAAATGACATATCCTCTGAGAAAATAAAGGGCGGGTGGGCGGGCCTAGTACTTGTTAAGATAAAACTGATTTTGCACCTATTAATCTTGTAAAAACTTGCGAAATTTATGATTTGATTTTTTAATTGTTCAATGTCATAAATTTTAGATTTTTGAATTTTTCGATTTTTCAGTTCTTTTCAAATTTTGACGTTTCTGAATTTTCAGTTTTCCGATTGCTCATGTAATCTATTTTTATATTATCCCATTTCTCGACTTCCCAAGGTTTCGATTTTTCAAAGTTATACTTTGATTTCCCAGTTGTTCAACTTTTGAATATTTTAACTTTCCAATTTTGAAAATTTTAGGTTTTTCGATTTCTTGAGTTTTCAGTTCTTCTATATTTCAATTTTTCAATTTTTCTCGGCTTTTTACTTTTTGGATTTTCAATTTTCCGTTTTTAAAATTTTAGATTTTTTTCCTCCACTCTGTATCTTTGTTTTAAATAAAATAAAAATAAAAAACTTTTCAATGTTTTGTACTTCGATTTCCCAATTTTTAAACTTTTCGATATTTTACCTTTCCAATTTTGAAAACTTTAGGTTTTTCGATTTCTTGAGTTTTCAGTTCTTCTATATTTCATTTTTCAATTTTCGGAATTTTAAATTTCCGATTTTCTAATTTATTTCTTAATTTTTCGATTTTCCAATTTTTCGATGGGGCAAACTCGAAAAATCAAAAAGTTAAAAATGGAAAAATTGATAAATCGATAGATTGAATAAAACATCGAAACATCCGAAGCTCGATATTTCTCAAAAAATTCTCAACTTTTTACGATTTTTAAATATTTCTATTTTTAAGTTTTTCAGATTTTGACGTTTCTAAATTTTCAATTTTCCGATTTGTGAAGTAATCTCCTTTTTACTTTCCTATTTTCCGACTTCCCAAGGTTACGATTTTTTCAATTCTTGAATTTTTTGATTTTTCAGGTTTTTGATTTTTCAATTTTTCGATTTTTTAAGCTTACGATTTTTCGACTTTAATTTAATCTTTAGTTTTTCGATGTCTCAATTTTCCAATTTTTTAATTACTCAATTTTTTGGATATTTCTTTCAATTTTGGGATTTTTCAATATTTCGATTTTTCGACTTTTTTTCTGGGGTTTCTATTTCTCGACTTGTCGATTTTTCAGTTTTTTGATTTTAAAATTTTACATTGTTGAATTTATATTTTTTGATTTTTTGATGTTTGGTTTTCTCGATTTTGCGATATCCTAATGTTTTAAATTTTAGATTTTTAGATTTTTCAGTTCTTCAATATTTTTTAATTTAACTATGACGTTGCTGAATTTTTTTGTTGTTGGATTTCCCACTTAATCCATTTTTTTATTTTCCCATTTCTCGACTTCCCAAAGTTTCGATTTTTCAGTTCTTTAGTTCTTCAGTTTCTCGGAATTTCCAGTACTTTCTAAGATAAGACTTATTTGGGTAAATGACATATCCTCTGAGAAAATAGAGGGCGGGTGGGCGGGCCTAGTACTTGTTAAGATAAAACTGATTTTGCACCTATTAATCTTGTAAAAACTTGCGAAATTTATGATTTGATTTTTTAATTGTTCAATGTTATAAATTTTAGATTTTTGAATTTTTCGATTTTTCAGTTCTTTTCAAATTTTGACGTTTCTGAATTTTCAGTTTTCCGATTGCCCATGTAATCTATTTTTATATTTTCCCATTTCTCGACTTCCCAAGGTTTCGATTTTTCAGCGTTATACTTTAATTTCCCAATTGTTCAACTTTTCGATATTTTAACTTTTCAATTTTGAAAACTTTAGGTTTTTCGATTTCTTGAGTTTTCAGTTCTTCTGTATTTCAATTTTTCAATTTTTCTCGGCTTTTTACTTTTTGGATTTTCAATTTTTCGTTTTTAAAATTTGAGATTTTTTTCCTCTACTCTATAACTTTCTTTTAAATAAAATAAAAATAAAAAACTTTTCAATGTTTTGTACTTCGATTTCCCAATTTTTAAACTTTTCGATATTTTAACTTTCCAATTTTGAAAACTTTAGGTTTTTCTAATTCTTGAATTTTTAATTCTTCTATATTTCAATTTTTCAATTTTCGGAATTTTTAAATTTTCCATTTTCCAATTTATTGCTTAATTTTTCGATTTTCCAATTTTTCGATAGAGCAAACTCGAAAAATCGAAAAGTTAAAAATGGAAAAATTGATAAATCGATAGATTGAATAAAACATCCAAACATCCGGATCACGATATTTCTCAAAAATTTCTCAATTTTTGTCCTCTTCAATTTTACGATTTTTAAATATTTCTGTTTTCAGTTTTTTAGATTTTGCCGTTTCTAAATTTTCAATTTTCCGATTTCTGAAGTAATCTCCTTTATGTTTTCCTATTTTCCGACTTCTCAAGGTTATGATTTTTTCAATTTTGAATTTTTTGATTTTTCAGGTTTTTGATTTTTCAATTTTTTGGATATTTCTTTCAATTTTGGGATTTTTCAATATTTTGATTTTTCGACTTTTTTCTGGGGTTTCAATTTCTCGATTTGTCGATTTTTCAGTTTTTTTGGTTTTTAAATTTTACATTTTTGAATTTTTATTTTTTGATTTTTGGATATCTCGATTTTTCAGTTTTGCGATATTCTAATGTTCAGTGTTTTAAAATTTTAGATTTTTAGATTTTTCAGTTCTTCAATATTTTTTAATTTAACTATGACGTTGCTGAATTTTTTTGTTGTCGGATTTCCCACTTAATCCATTTTTTTATTTTCCCATTTCTCGACTTCCCAAAGTTTCGATTTTTCAGTTCTTTAGTTCTTCAATGTTTTGGAATTCCAGTACTTCCTAAGATAAGACTTATTTGGGCAAATGACATATCCCATGGGAAAAAGAGGGGTGGGTGGGTGGGCGGGCCTAGTATTTGTTAAAATCTCGGTTAAAATAAAACTGCTTTTGCCCCTATTAATCTTCTAAAAACTTGTGAAATTTAAAGGTGTTAAATGCAAATGTACAAAAGATGATGAATTTTAACTTGCATTCATATTTTTTAGATTTTCTTGTACAGATGACTCAAAAATGTATCATTTTATTTTATTGATTAAATCAGGAACGGCAATTTTCCCAGAAAATGTTGGGAATACAATACTGTTATTTTTAGTATTACAGTGCACCAATCCAAGTCGATATACGTGTCCTTGAAAAAATGTTGATGACGTTCACTTCTTAAAAATTGAAGAGAAGAAGAAGAAGAAGAAGAAACTTAACACATGTTTAAAAGTAATTTTTTGTAGAAAAATATGGATTTTGCAATTAAATTCCGCCCCTCTATCTGACAACGAATAAAAAATTCATCACAACTGAGATAGGGGCGGGTGGGTGGGGCTTAATTATTGCCTTCAAATGGCTATGTATATTAAGAAAAAAATGGCAAAATATAAGCCCCGCCCACCCGCCCTATCTCAATTGTAATGATTTTATTATTCGTCGTAAGCCGAGGGGTGGAGCTTAATATAGAATTTGTTCAGCAAAATTTTTAGAGGGGATGAGAAAATAGATTTTGATCAAAAATTTACCATGGACTTTAGGTGTTAGCTTTCGACCAATTTTTTTATAATGCTTTGGTGTAATGTGTAGAATGAAATAAGATTTCAAAAGACTGACTCGACCCTAATTACCATTTAATAGTAGTTATTTAACGAATTTGTTTAATGATAGCTATTAACAATCGAGGTCGAAATTACTAACTAACCATAGACCAACATGCTAGTTATAGGATTTTTTCGATAATAGAAATATTTGAAAATTAAAAATTACATTTAATTATGCAACCAAATATACACCTTCTGTGTCCTATTCTTCCATTTCAGAGTCCACAATTAACAGATTACAATCAAAACAAATTAAAAAACACCGTAATTGCTAGGTCTAGAAACCCTTTCCAGCTTTCAAAAAAGAAATCAAAACAACTATTTGAATGTCACAAATTTAAACACACAAAAAAGAAATCGTCATTAAAGTAACAAGTCATTACGATGTTGTGATGGCAAATTTAAGTATGAACAAGCAAACAGTTTTGAGCGCTCGGTTGTTGCGAGATACACGAACTACACCACATACTGATCCTCGTTGAGTAAGACCTGTTACATAAGTGACCACGATATCCACTACGCCTGTTTTTCACGGGCGATTTAATGAGTTTCCCCATTACCGGAATAAAACAACTTTCACTTCAAAAAAATATCTATTAACATTAACCAGAAATTAAATTAAGGAAATATTCCATAAAAACTTTATATTATCCGCTATAAATATCACATTACAATTTGATTTCAAGTAGAGTTAAAATTTTAAGGTAAGTAAAATAATAAAAGCAACAAAAATTAAATCAACAAGCATCTAAAAACTTTGGTTTATTCATCCCCGTGCGTAGATCCAGCACTTCCAGATCCGCGTTATGGTCGATCTTCACGTGTTCAGCAACCATAAACAACGGCGGTTCCGTTGGATGTGGATGAAATCCGGACTTCCGACACCCCGCTATATACTTTAACCCATAGTCTGGTGTAAGGACAAAAAACCCAGTTTCGTTATACCTGGGAGCGCAAACAATTGCGATCGCTTCAGGCATTAACAACTGGTATGGACAATGAGTATGCAGATCCACGCTCGACAAAAATGCAGTTTGCGTGGGATGAGTCTAGAAAAAAAAAATAGTTGTTTGATAGTACGAAAAATACAACAATACATGTATCCATCCAATTGTAATCAAACTGTGCTGATCCTGAAAATCAAAAATTTCTTCCTCGTTCATGGTAGTACACGAGTCTGATGTACCTTTCTGTTTTGGTAGGATCATGTGAGTTATAGTGAGTATGTCTTGCTCCTACAACGGAACGGTAAAAACAGATTTTTAGTCAAAACATCAACATACTAATTTCCCTGCTAGGATTCCACACGTTTCTATGTTGTTCATAGTATTTCTTTGTGCCATTGTTTGAAACTGGATCATAACCTTTGAAGGCACGATAACTCGGCGTAAAGCTACAGATTCAAACCGTGTACTTAAAGGATCTAATGGTTTTTTTGACCTGTCTACTGTGGGCATACCGGGTATTTCTGATTTGGGTCCTTTATTTTCTTGGGTTTTATTATCTAATTCTGCATTAGGATCTGGGTAATTGACGTCGGCTACACTTGGCGCCATTTTGATGTCGGATTCTTTACTTTCATGTACACGTATAGTGGATGTAGATACCACGTCGGAATGGGTTGCAAGCGTATCCAAGGATTTCCGAGTCTCTATTTTTTTTCTTGCCTGTATAATAACAGCTACTTTTACTACGTGAATAATGTGGTCGCGTATTTTAATATACAAGTACTATACCAAGTATATACAGAATATTTTTCAATTCAATGGGCGATTTTTCCCCCACGTGGGTACGTGGACGACTAAACAATAATTTTCCCTCTTCGCCCATGTACGAATATAGTGTTACACGAAAATTAATATTTACATTCCAAATGTATGAAATTGTTTAAGGTTTTAAAAATGACTTCAATCAAATTAAATTGAAACTAATTATTAAAATAATAATAATAATAACAATACCCTGTCAGCCATATATCTATTATATTCTTCCTTATACTGGTTCAACAACTGCTCCTTCAGCTTCTCTGCCTTTGGCAGCACTTCCCTCAGCTTTGTCTGATTAATAGCTTTCATCTTTACAGGAACTGTGTGAAAATCGGGATGTCTGCGAATTTTTTCCAGGAACAGAGTCATGAATTTTAAATACAAGACGTACGCGTTTTCGAGATTTCCCTCGCTGTAGTAAACATTAGCCATGCGGACCATTTCCAACCCGGATCGGTAGTACCTAGAAAAAAAGTTGTACAGATTGGACTATAGACGGAAGTGCCTACCGGGTTGGTGGTATGTGGAAGTCCACTTCCACCGCATTGCAGTAATTTATTAAATGTTTCAGTCTTTCTTGGGGCTGCACTAAATTAGAAGTATGCCTGACTACGTCTACGTCTGATTCCGCCATTTTGATTCGGTTTTAATGAAACATTGTCAAAGGGTAGTTTGTGAGGGAGTGATTTGCGAAGTGATGTTGCATGTAAGGGTGTGACTCACACTTAATCCCAATATTCGATTATTTTGTTAGGTTTTAGGTTATATTTACAACTATGACAGCTGCGATTGTGGCGCCATCAAACCTAAAGCTTTTGTAACTATGCAACCCAAAATACCAACCACCGCAAGTGGCGACCCAAGAGAGGACTCGCTAGACATGGTTTAACATTTTTTTGGTTTTTTGTATGAAAAAATGATATTAATATCGATGTATCTACATCAAACTGCAGCTTTTTCATATTCTAGAACGCAGAGACCAGTCCAATCAATTAAAAAAATATGGCTGAGAAATATCGTAAAAAAAGCATCATTGTATGTTTTCTTTTCAAGTTTTTTGAGTCATAACCATCATAGAATCGCTTGAAAATTCGCACATGGATAAAACATCACTTTTTACAGGCCGCATTAAATCATTAAATGTTTGTTAGTGGTACAATTTGTTTAAATAATAATGCGTTTATTAAAATCAAAATATATCACAAATTAATACAAAATACGTACAATAATTTTAACAGGAATATGAGAGGAAAATTAATGATCTATTGGTTAGCAGAGTTTTTAACAAAAACTAACAATTATTGAAAAAATGGGTATCAATCACTAAAATTTACGGAAGCGACTTTCCAGGTAAAACCCTTATCGCCTGCTCTACCATAAGCTGATTGTTAGCGTTCTCGGCTGATTTTTGTAATTTATGGCAAGGAACTCAGTTTTATAACAAGCCGCCAGGACCGGCTGTAGTAATCTATTGTTAAGGAAATTAACTTTTACGCAATGAGGTACTATCATAAAACTGAATTAAAACTGGGGAACTATAATATTTTTACTGCACTCAGGATTCTGAATTCAATACACATGATTACTAAAAATTGATTGTAATATTATTGTTAATATATATTTTCCTTTGTTAATTAATAAAACTAATAAACATATTTATACTAATAATATAATAAGAAGATACGACACCCTATTACACTTACATTCCATCTCCGTTCCTTGAAAATAACAAATACAAATTATACTGGGATCACACAATACTTACAGACTTAAACATTACAGCTAACAGACCAGACATCATACTTATCAAAAAACACACGAACGAAGCTATTCTCATTGACATTGCTGTTCCTGACACAAATAACATTATTCAAACATACCACACCAAGATTTCAAAATATCTACAATTATCGATAGAAATGAAATCCATGTTGAATCTTAAAAAAATTTCAATTCTACCCCTAGTTATCTCTAATGTAGGTGTAGTTCCAAATAGCTTAGTTGAGAATTTAAAGTCTTTGCATTTGAATGATTCAATAATTATCAAAATTCAAAAAGCTGTTTTGTTAGGAACATGTCATATTGTTCGTAAGTTTCTTGAACAGTCTGATCATGTCAGTCAGATTAGATTAGCACCAGTAGGTCAGAGTAGTGTAGGTCACTTTCCAAGTGATGCGCGGATAAATGGTCGGTAGTTACGCTAGACTTTTGGGGATGGGGTGAGATTAGAGAATAATAGCAGACTAATTTGTATGCTGTAATTCTAGAATCTCGAAAGTTGTTCTGTTAATCTAATCAATGCATATCATTACTTGGTCTTAGTACCCGTAATGATAGAAGTCTTGCCTGAATGCCGGTCATTTCCGGGTCAGCGGTGGGTCTTAAAAACATAAAAAATATATAAAATACAGCTTTTGTTTAACACGTATAAGTAGCTAAGTGTATCTACAACTTATCCCAGAAAGGATGTGTTTTAAAAAAGCCCTACGCCTAGTAACTTCTCCCTTCATTGTTTACTCGAAAAAAGTGCACGTATATGTTTTCATTTGCCGAGAGATCATTTTCAAAATATATTTATAATAAAAATAGGCAAGTCTTGGTGATGAAAAATGTACTCCGAATATATTATTAAAGTACATAAAAAAATTGGTCTAAAGAGTTTAGACAGTACTTCCCTCGCTGTCGGAAACTTGACGACTGCATGCCTATTGTGTTTTTTTTCTCATTACATTTTTGTAGTGGGAATTTAAAAAAAAATTGCGATGACGTCATCAACATTTTTGCAAGGACACGTATATCAGTTGGGATAGATGTAGTGTAATACTAAGAATAAAATTATTATATTCTCAAATTTTCGGGAAAATGAATTGGGTCGTTTGAATATTGATTTGTAATAATCAATAAAATAACGAAACAATTTACTCACGTATACCTACGTATCAGAGGCAACTGAAAATCGTGTATGTATAAACATTGTTAATTTAAGATGACAGGCGTAACAGCATACGTGAGAGCCAAACACAGAAACTGTAAACAAAACGACCGTCGGTTTTATTGCTTCGACTTCCGCTTATTATATAAAACATTGGGTTTTATTTTAATTCTTGACGGTGAAATTCACAATTGGTTGATTATAAACATGTCTATTTCACATTCGCGGAATCAAGTGAACGCATAAAACAAATGCAGGTCTGTAATGTTAAAGTCGATGTAAATAAGCGTGCTACCCTTATGTTTCAACCGAGTTTTTCCTTTAACAAATTTTGTGTCTACCAAATTGGGTTGGTTGGGGTGTAATACTAATAATAAGTGTTGTCTTTAATTTAATCAATAAAATAAATTGACTTCATTAATTTTTTTGAACCACCTCTTAAGAAAATCTAAAAAATATGAATGGAATGATAAATCACAAGTACAAACTCATCATATTTTTTGCATTTTAGATAGGATTTATTCAGCAAAATTTAAGGGTGACGTCATCAATTTTTTTAGGAGGGATGAACAAATACATTTTGAACAAAAGTTTACCATGCTTATAATAACTTTAAAATATTCCCAAGATTTCAAAGCATTCGGTTTTGTAATTCCTGATTAAATCGATAAAATAAATTCACGCCTTCATTAATTTTTTTGAGTCACCCTGCATATGCAAATCCAAAAATATGAATGGAATGATAAATCACAAGTACAGACTCATCATATTTTGTACATTTTAGATACGATTTATTCGGAAAACTTTTGAGCTGACGTCATCAGTTTTTTGTAGAAGATAACCAAATATATTTTGACTAAAAATTTATTATGCTCTTTATAACCTTAAAACATCTGCAAGATTTCAAAGCATTCGGTTTTGTAGTTCCTGATTAAATCAATAAAATAAATTTACGCATTCATTAATTTTTTTGAGTCACTCTGTATATGCAAATCCAAAAAATATGAATGGAGTGATAAATGACAAGTACAGGCTCATCATATTTTGTACATTTTAGATATGATTTATTCGGCAAACTTTCGAGCTGACGTCATCAAGTTTTTGGAGGGGATAAGCAAATATATTTTGACTAAACATTTATTATGCTCTTTATGACCTTAAAACATCTGCAAGATTTCAGAGCATTCGGTTTTGTAGTTCCTGATTAAATCAATAAAATATATTTACGCATTCATTAATTTTTTTGAGTCACCCTGTATATGCAAATCCAAAAAATATTAATGGAGTGATAGTTCACAAGTACAGACTCATCATATTTTGTACATTTTAGATATGATTTATTCCACAAACTTTTGAGCTGACGTCATCAAGTTTTTGGAGGGGATAAGCAAATATTTTTTGACTAAAGATTTATGATGCTCTTTATAGCCTTAAAACATCTGCAACATTTCAAAGCATTCTGGTTAGCAGATTAAAAATTAAATTTCAAAATGTTGTTTTATAATTTTGATTTTTTTTCCAAAAATCTGGACGTTTCGGGTGAAAAGTCGATTCAGAGTTGTAAACTACATGTGTAGGACTATGTTATTTTATACAATTGAAAACCCATTTACTATGTACAATTTTGAAGTGACGTCATCGCTTTAGTGGTGGGGATGATTCGACAAATTTTGGTTAGCGTTTTACCATCTACATGATATTCTTAATATAAGTACAAAATTTCACAACAATCGGTCGAGTACTTTCGGAGATTATCTGTCTAATAAAAATCCGTGACAACAGACGGACAGACGGACAGACGGACAGACGGACAGACGGACGGACGGACGGACAGACGGACAGACGGACAGACGGACAGACGGACAGACGGACAGACAGACGGAAATGGGAGACCTATTTCTTCGTCTTCTAGGGGTCATGAAAGATCGAGAAAACGTAAAAGTAGAGAGTCGGCCGACGGACTCGATTACAATACTTCCTTTGCTTACGCTCGGGAAGTAAAAATAGAAACAAATTTTATTTATTTTAAAAAAATCTCTCGCAAAGGCAGGATCCTCTTTCTTCTTGAATCAATTATTTCGGGCAATAATGCGACAAAGTAAAATCTGCCAAGTTTATCTGCCATCTTTTTACACACTTCTTCGTTTTTTTCTATATTAATTCCTGTGGGTGTCCACACAACAAAATAAACTTGTGAAATACCCGTAACAAGCATTTGTCCCTGGACTTGAAAGTAGTAATCATGATTTTTTTTTACTTTGAATTCTCTCTCTGTCAATGTACAAAATTTGATTATTTTTTTTCTAAGCGCTTCTTCGGGAGACAAATCTTGCAATTTTGAAGGGCATTTAATTTCAACTAATGCACTCGTAATCCTCTAGAACCCTGTCTGGACTAGCAGCCAAGTAAGGAAATTGTTTTGAAATAAAAAAGCCACACCGTTCAGTTTTTATACTTTTATTTATTTCAAAACACTTGACAGCTTTTTCCTAACTTTGTTATCCATAGCATGTATGATTGTTACCTCTGTACTGTACTGTACAACAGAGACTCCACAGTTTTAGCTGTTGCGGTAGTTGATCTAAGTTTGTAAATACGTCCAAAATTTGAAGCCGTAACCCTAATTTCTCTTTCTTTTGCCCAAATGTGCCTGTTACCTAGTGTCTATTTCAATTTGGTCTAAATTCAAATATAATTTTGTCAAAAAAACCTCTTTGGCTGTCACAAATGTTTCTACATCCATGTCAGGATTATCTAAAAAATATTTAAACCATAATCGCAGTCGGGACCAGCATACGTGCATTTTTTTACGACATATTTTTTTTACGAATACTTTGTCTAAGACGAGCTTGTTTCATAGACGAACAACATTTTTTTGTTATTAAACCAGGACCGTTTTAATCACAATATATTTACTTATCCCCTCTAAAAAATTGATGACGTCACCTCAAAATTTTGCTGAATAAACCCTATCTAAAATGTACAAAATATGATGAGTCTCTTCTTGTAATTTATCATTCCATCCATATTTTTTGGATGCGGATATACAGGGTGACTCAAATAATTTAATGAATGCGCAAATTTATTTTATTGATTTAATCAGGAACTACAAAACCGAATGCTTTGAAATCTAATGTGAAAAAAAAACATAATAAGCATGCAGTCGTCACGTTTTCGATAGCGAGGGAAGTACTGTCTAAACTCTTTAGACCAATTTTTTTGATTTTCCCATTTCTCCATTTCTCAATTTTTCAATGTTTCAGTTTGGGATTTTTTTACTGTTTCGATTCTTAATTTTCCTTCCATTTTTAGGTTTTTCAATATTTCAGCGTTGGAATTTTGCAATATTTCGTTTCTTCAATTTTTCAAATTTTTGATATTGTGTTTTCTCGGTTTTTAAATTTTTCGATATTTTAATTTTTCACTTTTTAAAGTTTTAGGTTTTTAGATTTTTCACTATCTGGACTTTTCGATTTTTCAGTTCCATGATTTTTCAATTTGTCGAATTTTTAAATTTTAGATTTTTTGTTTTCTTTGATTTTTTGAGTTCTCGATCAATCGATTTTCTGAGTTTTCAGGCTTAGATTTTTTTTGTTGTTCAATTCTTGGATTTTTAAAATTTTTGTTTTTTAAATTTTCCTATTTATCAACTTACTGGGATTTCAATGTTTTGATTTTTTGATTGTTCATTTTCTCGATTTTTTGAATTTTTAGTTTTTTATATATATTTTTTTTTAATTTTCAGTTTTCCAATTTATTAACTTCACGATACTTCAGTTTTGTTCGATTTCGATTTCTCAATTTTTCGACATATTACTGTTGGGATTTTTCAATTTATCGATTTTTCATATTTTCGGTTTCTCGAATTTCTTCAATTTTCGATTTCTCAATTTTCCGATATTTCAGTTTTACGATTTTTAATTTTTTTTATTTTTCAGTTTTCAATTTTTGACGTTTCTAAATTTTTCGATTTCTCAATTTTTCGATTAACTGATTTTTTGATTTTCCCATTTCTCTATTTCTCGATTTTTCAATTTTTTCTTCAATTGTGATTTTTCAATTTTTCGATTTCTGAATTTTTCAATGTTTCAGTTTTGGATTTTTTCACTTTTCCGATTCTTCAATTTTCTTTTCATTTTTCAGTTTTTCAAGATTTCAGTTTTGAATTTTTTCACTTTTCCGATTTTTCAATTTTCCTTCCATTTTTCAGTTTTTCAGTATTTTAGTTCTGGAATCTTGCAATGTTTCGGTTCTTCAATTTTTCCATTTTTTGATGTTTCGATTTCTCGGTTTTTCAATTTTTCGATAGGTATTTTAATTGTTCAATTTTTAAGTTCTAGATTTTCCGTTAATTTTTTTGTTTTCCTTGATGTTTTGATTTCTCGATTATTCGATTTTTCAAGTTCTCGGTTTAGATTTTTTGGTTTTCCAATTCTTCGATTTTTAAATTGTTTAATTTTTAGATTGTTCAATTTATCGATTTTTAGATTTTTCAATTTTTCGGTTTACCGATTTTTTCAATTTTTCAATTATTAACTTTTCGATTTTTCAATTTTCGTCTAATTTGATTTCTTAATTTTTTGATTTTTTGACTCCTCTACTGTTGATGTTTTGATTTCTCGATGTTTCAGTTTTTGAACATTCTGATATTTCGATTTTTCGACTTTTTGGCTTGTCGAGTGTTCAATTATTTGATTTTTGAATTTTAGATTTTTGTTTTTTTGATTTTTTTGGTGTTTCGATTTCCCAATTCTTCAATTTTTCGATATTTTAATTTTTCAATTTTTCGAATTTTTAAATTTTTGATTTTTCTTTTCTTTTATTTTTCAATTTTTGGATTTTTTAAATTTTACATTTTTCGATTTTACTATTTTTTCATGCTTGGATTTCTCAATTTTTCAAGTTTTCAATATTAATTTTTTCAGGATTTGAATATTGAGAACTTTTCAATTTCTGGATTTTCAATTTTCAGATATTTTAATTTTTTTATTTTTTAATGTTTCGATTTTTCGATTTTTAAAATTTTTGATTTTTCGATTTTTCCGATTTGTTGTCGTCTATTTTAAGTATATTTCATTTTTCAATTTATAGTTATTGGAAGGAAATGTTATTTAAATGTTAAGAAGTAGCATAGTCCTGAACTTGTGGTTTATAAATATATTATTGAGATTATTCGGCTTTTTGATCTCTCTTTAGATGATTCAACTTTTCAATATTTCAGTTTTTCCATTCTTTAAATTTTCGGTTTCTCTCTTTTCACTGTACAAATAAGGAAGACATTTATAATACATTAATATCTAGATAGGTATTTATATATTTGTAAAACTTACAACAAAAAATAGACAAATTTCTAACTAACAGTATATTTATAATAAAGCAGATTCCAAACGCAAAAACAAAATTTTTCATAAATTTCATAAACTCAAATTAAAGCTTCTATCAAAAAAATGGAAAGTACAATTCAGACACTTCTAATCCATCCTAGTCGTCTGAGAACGATATATTGAGTCACAGGCAGCCACTCATAGTTAACACTACTTTCCATTTGCTCTTGATGTACAACCATTGGCACTACATTATTGACTTCATGCCTTGAACTGCTTGCCTCATTTCTGGCACTATCAACTAAATTTTTAAGATTTTGGTTCTCCTAAAGCAAACAATTACAATAACCCCATTACAACAATATAAAACAATACCCTACTTTTTCAATAAGAAATTTCTCATAGTCCTCTCTATACTGCCTCATCAATATCTGCTGCAGTTTATCAACTTTTGATATTAACTTTTCCATTTTATCTGGATTGTTCACTTTCGCCTTCACTGGATCTTTCTCAAAATCCGGATGCTTGGGCATTTCTTCCATGAATAAAGTCATAAATTTCAAGTAAAGAGCGTACGCGTTTTCGGTTTTGCGCTCGAAATAGTAGGCGTTTGCCATTTTCGCCATCGTCATTCCTGCATGGTAATACCTTAAAGGTGAAACATTTTGTTTCATTTTAATATAAATTAAATAGCAATTAACTCACTGAGAAAGCGGTTTGGTGTAGTCTAGTTTTACGGCATTTTTACAGCTGGCTACTAGGTGCTTAAGTCTATCATTAGGTGGTATGTTACAAGGTTGTCGAACTTCTGGTTCTGGGTCAATCTCGGCTTCTGCCATTCTGACGAAAACTGAACGAAATGGCGTGAAATTACAACGTTTTTAAGTCGGGTTATCTACGTAGAGGCATCAATCTGTCTGCAACAGTTTTATTTTGAGGTTATATTTTTAATCAGTTTTATCAGGAGGTTATCTGTCATCAGTGACGACAGGTGAGAGTTTGTGGCGCCATCTTTATTGTTCTATTTCCATAGGCGTAGTTTGTTGCTTAGTTGTAGGGGACAATACTATTTATTTTATTATATTACAGTCACTACATTTAATAAGTGTAAAAATAGAATGATATTCACTTCATAATAAATTATGATAGTAATGTCACAATGAACAATGGGAACAGTTTATAAATACAACGAAAATTTATTCTTGATGTGATAAATATTATTACAGAACAAAATAAATGACAATTATTTTATTATTAACAAAGAAAAATAATGAAATAACAGCAATAAAAAATGTGCAAACATATAATTCACGCTTTATCAGACTCAGTGCATACAAATATATATATTCACTACAATTTCACGTTTCTAAACCCGACATTATGGATTTTGTTTGATCAATATTTATAAAAACGATTAAATTAATTAAATGGCATTATAAGAGCTTCTCCAGTTCGTGCATCTAAACGACCAGAGTCCATTCTTTCAACCTTAAATTAATGACACATCGTTTACGTTTCCTCTAACATCATCAGGGCAGTGATAGAAAATTTAAATTAACAACAATACAAAAAACAGTCTTTAAATTAAATAAAAGTGGAAAACATCGAAACAACAAAAAAACTCATTGCAAACACAAAAGTACTACTCTTCGCACTACTAACACTATTTTCTGGAAAGTGGTTTGTTTTGTCCATCATCCAGTAGAACCCTTTCGTGAAATTCTGTCTTTTTAATTCTTGTCCAACGTGTATTCTGACTTTATCATTGTATTCGTTAAGCCATCGAATCTGAAATTTTCAAAAATGAGTACTAATTTTAGTAATGGGAGTTTAGTACCTGATGGATAGAAAGCAGGTTAAGGTCGATCAGTTTGGGTTCGTAGGGTACCAGCGTGATTACTTTAAAGCCCAAATAGTGAGTCCCGTGACTACCACGCAACCACCCTTTTTCGATAACTTCCATCACGTTTTCTAAACGGACACCAAAATCACTCTCTCTGTAGAATCCAGGTTCTTGAAAAAAGCAGTTAGGATGTGGTACCTACGAGGCGGGATACGTACCATTAGAGAGGAAGTATCCGGGTTGTAGTATTTCATTTTCGGGAGAACTTGCTGGGCTATTGAAGTATAGCGAAATGGGAGCTAAATTTTTGAATTAGATTTGTTACGACCATTGTTAAATCTTTACCTTCGTGGACACTGGAGAATGAACCAACCCCATGACTAGTACCGTGTTCATAATCCAAACCAACTTCCCATAAAGGCGCTCTTGCGATTACGTCAATTGCTGAAGTTGTCAAGTCCGAGGGAAAAGTAAGCGTAGATAGCTGAATTTGACCAATCAGTACTCTCGTATACGCTTCCTTTTGGTCTTTGGTCGGTGTACCAAAGTGCAAAGTCCTCGTAATGTCGGTGGTACCATCTATGAAACTCGTCTTTGTAGCATAATTACTTATTACTTTCTTACTCAGTACCTAAATATTGTCCTCCCGAATCTAACACCAAAGTACTATCGTCTCCAATTTTCACATTGGTACTATTCGTCGGTACATAATGCGGTAGTGCTCCATTTGACCCATACGCTGCAATGGTCGGAAAACTATTCCCTAGACTGTGCAATTGCTCGTACCGAAACTGGTCGACAATTTTCACCACATCCAACTCTGTAAAAGTGGTACCATCCTTGAACTAGATCCGGCATGAGCGTTATGGGTGTGAGTTCTGCAAACTTTACCATTTTGTCGAAGTAGGCGAAGAATTCACACATGGCAGCAGCATCTCGAATGTGGGCTTGTTGCATACCGTGGATTTCCACTGTGTTCTTTTTGGCTTTTAGCAACATGATGGGTGACTGTTTAAAGAGGCGTTTGTTTTCTGGGATGCAGTTAGTAATGTTGCGACTAGCACCTAAGCTAAAAAGCCCATTTTCGGAAGGGATCAAGATTTTGGAGTAGGTTTGGGCACGCGTCGCCAAATCTGGGCAGATTTGGTCGTAGTTGAAGATTCTACAAGAAGAAAAGGTGGCATAAGTAGAGCAGGTTGACTCCTAGTACTTACTTCACACTTTCTGTCGAAGATTCAAAGTACTTAGAGATGTGATTCGTTTTAAGTTGGTCTTTATTAACATAAAACCATAGTCTGTCCATTTCCAAGAGCACATAACTCCTGACAAAAGGGCTCGAAGGGAGGTCTCTTCCCCTAATATTCAACAACCAAGCAATTTCATCCAACGCAGTCACCACCATAGCATCGGCCTTCAGAAGTTTGATCCACTCCCTCACCTCGTTAACTTTCTTCGTCCATTTCTTTCCTACAAAAACAAATTCCTTTAAAATCAAACCTCCTCGTTGCTAAACTCATACCTGAATACTTTTCCTCCAAAATAAACACATTTTTATTCCTTCTGGGTTCTCTGCCAGTTGTCCACAACACATCGATTAAATTCGTTTGAATTTCAATTAAGTCCCAGTTGACCCTTTTCAAGTCTTCAGACAGTTGTTGCCACCTTGATTGTGACAGAAGTTTTGGGTCTGCGCCTATCACTCCTCCTTCTGGTGAGTCTCTGCGCAACCACATGGTCATGTTGGGTACCCCACGGTAGAATTCACGCATGAGCTTCCAGCCGCAGTCGATTTGGTTGTCTGCTTGGAGGTGGTACCTACCATCTGTCCAAAGTACTGCTGAAGGTTCCCTTTTTCTTGTGGAGGTGGTTCTATTTGTGGTGATGATGGCATCACCATAACTACCACTGAACCCGGAGATGTATTGCAAGCGTTTGTCGTAGTCTTCCACAAATTCACTCTAAAAGAAAAATTGGTAGAAAGTTATTTAGACAGAACTTCCCTCGTCCTTGAAGCTTATTTTTGAGATTTTTGTTTTTACGTCTGCAAAGTAAACTTATATCTCAACCGACAAGAGAAAAAAGCTGAGGCACCCTATTTATTTTCCTTAAAAATACCCAATGGTTTGTGGGTATAGTATAGTATACCTGGTGTTCATCTTGAGAAGGTATTAAATACGCGTCCAAGTATCGCTGATCCCGTGTTATGCTCGTGTTAACCATTAAATTTCTTAATTCTTCCACTCTTTCTTTTGTAAACACCCTGTTTGTTGGTTGGACTGCGTTCCCAAACTTCGGACAAGCTTTTCGAAACTCGCCTGTTTTTCTGAGTCTTCGAATCTCATTGGTGTTAGCAGAAGAAGAAACAGTGATGAGGAATCCTGAAAAATAGAAACAATAAATCTAAATTTTTGCAACAAATTCAGTAAAATATGTAAAATAATAATAATAATACGACAATAGTGACATTCGTTTAGCGTATACCGAACACACTCTTGCCCATCTCGCGCCAAGCCGCCATATTTTTTTAACGTCACGTAAGAAATTCAAATATCTTCTCGTACCAGGACTCCATAACCTCGAAAAAGTCTTAAGACATTCTCACCCCTCCTACCTCGACCTGTCCAACACCCCCCAAAAAACCAATAACTGAATACCAGTTGTTGCATTTTAGGGCAGGTTATTAAAGGGTTGCGAATGCGTGGGAGTGGAAACAATAGAGTCGACGTCAACGGCGTAACAGGGCCGCATAAGGGCGAAAAGGTGGGGCGATGCAATAGCCCTTCACCCTTAAACGGGCAGACAGAGAGAGCCAGACCTCACAGCGGCTTTTTATTTATTTTTGTTAATCTCTCAGACCGATACATCGGTTTATTCCCAGACCGTTGAAGGTGATGGTCGGAAAACTAGGGATTGATCAGCTGTTCGAGGGTTGTTTGAATCAATAAAAGAAGTCGTGTGGCCCTGATGCGAGTCATGTTCGGATTCGCAGGATTAGGGATTTAGGAATACGGAGGGGTGGGTGGATGGGGTCGTTTGTTGACCTCGGAATGGGGTCATTGGGTTAAGAGGGGCGATTCAGGCGAGATTTGACGTCAACAACCGACCAGGATTCTATGGCGTGGAGGAGGTGAAATGTAAACAACTGGAAGGGATATAAATATGTCGGTATTGAACCGGAGTGACCTCGATGGGTGGGTTCTGGTTGGGCGAGTGGTAATGGCCGGAGCGATTGCCCATGAAAACTCGAGAATGGGAGGGTGCTGAATGAATCTAGTGTGATTGTTTATGGCAATCTGAATTAAAGATCTAGCTGCTCTTAAGCCTAAAAAAAACTTCGTAAGAAAGTATTTAATTTTCATTTTAAGAAGTATCACTTTATGTACAAACTGGAGTACCTGAAGACTTTTTTGATAAGCGTGGAATTGAGGAAGATTTTTAAAATACGATTAAAGAAGCGCTTTAACAAAAATACACGGACAATCTTTAAGTAAAAACCCAACGAAGATTTTTTACATGATTTCAAAACGCCAAATATATTTTCTTCGGATAGTTGAGATATAGCTACGTATGAATTAGGAGTTTCCCGACCCGTGAAATTAAAATGATAATAATATTAATTGGAGAGTAACTCTGAGTTTTTGTAATGCCCGGAGTATTTAGTTTTCGCATTTTTACTCATGTCAAAAATAAAATTATATAATTGTAACAGATTTAAGATGAATTACGTATAAGCTCGAACGTACGTTGTTAAGAAAGCCCGGAACAACCCGAAAAAAATGGTAACTAAACTTCGAACTAAGTGTGACAAAGTTTAAATTAACAGCATTATTTATAACGTAATGATAAATATAATTATGTCATAATTAAACCGAAAAATGTTTTCCTAGAAACACAAAGTTATTAAAAACAATTCAATTTCTTTAAACATTGTTAAATTAACCCCTAAAATGTGCAATTTCCCGGACAAAATATGAAAAATAATTTTGGCAAACTCATCGTGACGCACGATGATGTTACTGTGGCATCACCAATCCAAGTGGGTCACGTTTTTTTGTTCCACTTTGATTTTGGTCTGGTGGCAGCAACATCAGCATTCTAATTTATTAATTGGTGAAAATATATTGTGTTCATGCTATGAACACGAAGGAAAGTACCCATTTCGAGGATATTCTTCTAAAAGGAACAAAAACCTAAATTTTACCTAAAACTGCAGAATATTATGAGTATACGTGTGGTTTATGAGTGCGTTAATATTTTTTAGAATTACTTACTTTTATTGATCAAATCAAAAACCAATTTTCCAGAAAATTTGATTATACAACTCTTGGTAAATGTAGCTTAATTTCCATCATAGTTCGACCTAGTTAATTTTTGCAGAAAATTTTAAATATTCGAGTGGTACTAAATAGTACACCGTGTTTTATTCCACGATTCATATCGTATGCCTTAAACACGAATCTATTTTTTCCAGGGCTAAAAATACCGTGTATTGTAAACAAATCAGTATGTAATTACAGTTGGCTTCGTTAATTCGCACCTCCCACCAGTTCCTTCTGCTGCGTCCCTGGTACCTTGTTGACGTCATTTTCCAATAGCGCTCCCACACCAACTCCTCACCCACTACGCTCCACAACCCCCTCCCTCTCCTGACGCCCTACTAAGATGTTGACGTCACGTATCCAGCACATCGATCGCTACGCAACTCGTCTGTCACCCTTCAAGAATAAAATTCCGAGTCAAACTCCCTCAAAATGTTTGTATCGGCCGGCCTCGACCTCCAGATCCACTCCTCAACTCCATCCGGAGTGGAAAACCTCCAGGTGCAGTACCCCCCGTCCACTGCGAAAATCGTCAAAGTGTCGATCTGCAACGACAACAGCTACATCGCTGTCCTCCGCGAAAACGAAAAACCGCAGATCTTTTCGGCGAAGGATCGGCAGAATGTGCGCCTCATCCACACCATCAACGTTTCGAACATTTCGGCGCTCAGCTTCAAGCACACCACGAAGAAGATCATCGCAATGGGGACGACAACTGGAGATGTGATCATGTATGATACCAAAGGGAGGATGGTTGCTAATATTTTCAACAAAATCATGGATAGCGTGAAGGTGCTGGAGTTCACATGTGATGATAAACAGTTATGTGGATTTGATGGGTCGACTTTTTTCGTTTTCCCGGAGATTAACGCGAACAGTCATTTGAAAAGGTACAAGCAACAAGCAGAATGTTGTTTTTTGAGGTGCCACCCTTTTATTATGAATCGGGTGGTTTTAGGGTGTACCAATGGGCATGTGGGGGTTTGGGACGTGCAAAATGGAGTCGAACTAGTCCATCTGGAAAACTCCAAAGCACCCATAACAGGACTTGCGATGTCCTCGTGTGGAAATTTTCTCATAGTGGCAGAGAAAAATCTAAAGCTATATAATATTGACTATACTGCAAGTACCACTAGCTTCCAGTACGACTTAGTACAAGAAAAACCAGTGTCTTCGCTCGATTTAAGCACAGATGATAAACTATTAGCCGTTGGTTTAAATGACGGTACTCTGAAAATTTACAACGTCAAAGAACAACTCAAGCAAATCTATTCAAACAAACTTCATGACACGTCTATTGAAATCATCGCTTTTGAAAATATACCCAGAGAAATTAACACGAACTTCGTTTCTTTCGTGAAACATGTAGAAGAAAGCAAAGTAAACGACGTAGGGGGAACGCCACGATCCACTCATGGTAGAGAGAAAGCTATAAAAAACGTAAAAACGGACCATAGAGATGAAAATGTAGAAAGGATGAAGAGAAGTTTGATGAAGCTGGTTCGGGCGGAAATGGATTGCTTGGAGAATCAACTGAATGAACATTGTGTCAAGTTCCAGAAATTCTTGGATAACGAGTTTGAGACTATTGACACGATTATTAAGAAGAAATGGGATATTTTTAATGCAGGAGATATGAATCAAATTATTAAAGCTATTTGTCCGGAGGAGGCTAGAGAAGGTGCCGGGTAGTGTTTTGAAAGTGTCGGTGTCGGTGTCGTAGAACTTTCTATTAACTTCAGGATGTTAAAGACAATGTCAACTGTAAATTACAACTGTTAAATAAAATTTTCACTGTTTACCTTGCATCCTATTTGGCTTTTTGGAATTATTTTTTAGGTAATAGAGCATTTACAAGTCTTATTAGGTATTTACTTTTCGTTTTAACGCTAATCATAAAAAGTTATGGATAGAAAAATATGAAAGCAATTTGGTAAATTTGTATAGGGAAATATCGATTTTGCAATTAGGCTCCGCCCCTCGGTATGACAACGAATGACTGAGATCAAAACGGATGGGTGGGGCTTCTCTGTTGATTTTCTTTTTTAATTAAAACGTTTAGTTTTCTTTGTATAAAACGATTAACATATTTCACATGGTAATTTCTCATAGACAAATAAGGATTTTACAATTAAACTCCGCCCCGCGGGTAACGACGAATAAAAACAAAAAAAGAAACTTAGAACATGGTTAAAATGGTACATTTTTGCAAGAAAATATGGATTTTGCAATTATGGGGCGGAGCCTAAGTGCAAAATCGATATTTCCTTATACAAATTTATCATTTTAAACATGTTTTAAGTTTCATGTTGTAAAAAAAGAGTACACAGATTCAAACAAAAATGCATATTGTAAGCCCGCCCACCCGCCCAATCTCAATTGTGATGATCTTTTTTTATTCGCCGTGAGCCAAAGGGGCCGGACCTTAAGGCCGTGTGACACGATGCTAAATTTATGACAAATTTTAGCGAGATAAATTTTGTGCAAAAAATTGTACCGTGTCATACACAATTTACATGCTAAATATGTGTGTAAATTTTGGTGAGAAATTATTTAGGACACGTTCTAAATACTGACTAAATTTGTTACGAAAACTGCGCAGTACGATAAGGCGCAACCGGTACGACGCCATGATGAAATCAACATAACCAAACAGTTCTTTTGCCCACAAATTGAGCACCCGTTAATCTCAAAAAATTTTGATATGCAATTGGATCTTCTGGCAACAACTCGGTATTTAACATGTTTAAAATATCTCGTCCTTCTTGTCGCCTTGTTAACCAAGGTCTGCTCCATAGTGAACGTCGTTTTCTTCTTTGAATTTTCCGATTTGTTTTATTGGCATAGCAGCTTAGAACAATACTCGAAGCAGCAATAGTTTTATAAACAAGTATTTCCTCACGATTCATTATAAATGATTAATAAGTAAATAATAAACAAACAAATTGTAGGTTATGTCACAGAGGTTATGTTGAAAAACGCACCTTACCAATCACCATTACCAACACTATTTCTTAAATTCCCGAAAATTTTCACTCACTACGCATGCGCGAATGGTA